CTCCTCTGTTTTTCGGTTTGTCGTTCAAACTAGCAACAACAAAATATCAACAGAGAGGGAACTGGTTCCGACTTGTTGAGTCTAAACCCTTACATGTATAATTACATGCTATTCCTGTAATATCCTGTCTTTCTCAATTTTCAAAAATAGCTAGTCCGACTTCACGCTCCAAGAGCGTCTAGTAGATCCAAAGAGTGAAAAAAATATTTGACTCTATCAGAAAAAAAAAGCGAAATTACAGAGTGCTTATCAATAAGAGCTAGCTGTCCAAGCGAAAATATCACACACGAAGCGAAAGTAACGTTTTGGTCAATATATTTTGTACAAAAAGACAATGTTTACAAATATCGCTTTGATACATTTGTAAAGCCGGCGACTAGATTATGCAACAAACATTTATCATTTTTTACAACATGACTTAAATGCTACCCAAAAGGCTACAAAAATGAATGTCCTACAGCTGCTAATATTTAGGCTAAAACTTACCATATAATCAAGAAAAACAGAGAAAACCCCAAGACTTACTATTTACAGACCTAATTACCCTTAGAGTGGTTTTCTGTCAACCATGAAAGCACAATAAGTCTAATGGTTAGTAGTAGTTTGTAATAGACCAATATTAAGGCTGCGTTAATAATGTATACCACAGGGTGGGGGGAGGAGGGGGGCAGGTGAAATTTGGGGGGGATCGAACATTTTATACATTTTTTGGGGGATGACAAATTTTTTCTGTATTCAAGAGGGAATTGTTACAAATATTAATTAAAATCTTAATTACAAATGCAAAACAAGGTATAAATTGTAGAGGTTTCAATTAACAGATTAAATGCCTTATTAGTTTTAATAGAGAACATGGTAAAAACCAACAATTAACTTATCATTATCTTTTTTATCATTTTAATCRTCATTAATATCATCATCAACTTCACCATCATCATCAGTGTCATCATCGTCATTTGGATCTGCACTTTCCTTGGAATACTTTTTTATTTGTTTTTATTTTTGCTTGGGGGRTTGCTAATTTTTTCGTTAGTTGTGGACAGGGTGTTATAATTGTTTTGGAAATTAAAAAKTTCATACATTATGAACGCAGCCTAATAGTCRCATCATTGAAGCTAAGACCGAAAGGGATTTYGAGTACCACTRAATTGGGATTACATTTGTATATACGGWGTACCGTAAMGYAGGTWRAGCTAGTAAGATTAACAGCATGCTAGTCTTTTATGCTGTAGAGATGCTTGTATGAAATTAGCCAAATTGTTTGTCCTCCAAAGTACCCTTTCGGTCTTAGCTTCTATGATTTGACCTTTTTGGGCCCGACAAAGTCAATTAGGTGTATATTGACTATTATTAATTGCTACTAACTAGTTGGTCTATTTCTTTTCATGGTTGACGGAAAACCACTCTAATGCATCTTACTGTCGAAAGGGTTACTATAAGGCTTGAAATGACATTCATCGTCTAAAAGCTCTTTAGAATTTTTAGTCGGACTAGCCAAAGGCTAGGTCGACTTTAGTTTTACCTTTTAGCCAATCAATCTATCTATCTATCTATGTATTATGTCGCATTTGGACCACCGGAAGTTAAGAATTTAATGTTTAACTATTGGGTTGGCTGTGTTATTACATGACCGGAAGCTCAAGCATGTACGAATATCGTTAGTAAATGTTATATGCTACTTGGCTTTTATATGACAAAAAAACTATTTGTTTACAAATGTGGTATCTGTGATCTCATCGGAATGTATCTGTCTAGGCATTAGAAGTACGCGCATGTGCAGATTGCATAGAGTTTCGAGTTGTAYGCTTACAAAACTGAATCAATATCCTTTCTAGTGTTAGACAGTCTTGTGGGGGCAAAGATTTCAAATTAGAAMAAGAAGAAACTTTGTTTATCAATAACAGAAAGGCGAATTTAATGATTTTATAGGCATCTTTTTCCTTGTAAAGTTTTTATTTTCTTTGCCTGAGAGGTCAACGTTTTAGATATCATGATAGCACTTAGCGAGACATTTGTCTGAGCGTAGTTGATTTTATCAATCAAAGCAAGCCAYGTTCTTCGTTAATTACATGACCTTTTAGGTCAAGTTTATTTAAARTCTCAATAAATTTTGCATATTTTGAACTAGAYGCTCTTATTAGACCGTGAGTTCGGCTGTTTTGGAAAAAAAGTTAAGAAATATTTTTATCCATGTAATATCCTGTCTTTCTCAATTTTCACAAGCAGCTAGTCCGACTTCACGCTCCCAGAGCGTCTAGTTAAGAGTATAAACAACAAAGCCGTAGACGTATCAATTTTAGGCTAACAGAACGAATTGATCACGGAGTCCCCTTGTCAAAAAGAGAAATAGTTTCGTTTTTTGTTTTGTTTTTGCTTTTTACTGCTTCCAAATTTCCAAGAAAACGACCTCAAATTTGTGCTTATGTTTGGTCTTTGAGAATAATACAAGGCGGTTCAGTGTATCTTATGTCATTATGTTGTTTGATTCCAGCGCTCTGATCGAAAACTAGCCTCCGTAATTAAAGGTACGGTAATACGAGCAGCAAAATCGTCCAACTTGTATCGCAACATTGCTGCAAAGCAAGTTGGAAAGCGATGTTGMGCGTTTTACTACTGGCGAACCAAATCGTCTCGCATCAAAATAATTTGATGCAGGTTGAGCAAATCCTTATTTCTGATTGGCCAATGTAGTTAGCTGATTGTCGCGCGACGTCACTTTGCTGCGAGACAAGTTGGGTTGTTGTAGTAGCAACATCTTCGAGGTTTGTTGCAAAAAGTAGAACCATCTTCTACTTTCAGCAAAAAATTTTTTCAACTTGCAACAAACCATGCAACAAACCATTTTGTCGCGAGACAAGTTGGTAGGCGCGTAGTAAAACGAGAAACATCGCTTTCCAATAGCCGACTTGCGAATTACGCATCAATAGTCACATACAAAGGAATCAAGACGAGGCGTCGTGCTTTTTTGTGAAAAATATATTGTCTTTAGCACGGCGCCTCGTCTTGATTCCTTTGTATGTGACTATTGATGCGTAATTCGCAAGTCGGCTATTTGTTTTGCATCAATGTTGCAAGACAAGTTGGACGAATTTGTTGCTCGTATTACCGTAGCTTAAGCAGAGTCGTTCGCGGTTCGATTCTCTCCCCCACAAACTCGTTTTGTGCTATAATCCATGACGTTTCGTTTTTGCTTTTTTTACTGCTTCCAAAAGTAAATCATATAGATGAGTGAATTCAGTCAACACTTACCGAAAAGAATAAATGCTGCTTCTAGTATCACCTTCATAATTTATCATCTGAACGCTGGGGATCGGTAACGAGCAGAAACACACCTTTTTTGTCTAGCACATAGCTTTTTCATTCTCGATTCTGATTGGATCTTGCTCGCTGAACGCGATTGGTTGATTTACATGTACCCCTTGTCAACATGGCGGCTCTCCAAGATGGCGGAGGATTAAACATTTGCGTGTTTTTAGCAAACACTATCACTGAAATCACTGAAAAAAAGAAGTTAAACATGGTCAAACATTCCATCTAACTAAGACTAAGGCTTTTTTCAAGCACTCAAAGGTGTCAGTTTTAGTTTGTTCGCTCTGAAAAACTAATTCTTTCTAGTTTTCTGCGTTTTGAGGTAGGTTTTCCTCCTCCGATCAAAAAAAAACTTTACAAAAAAAGTTCATTCTCAAATTCGTGTAAAGTTTACCCTGGGAACCAGAGGCTGGATTTACTCGTTCTTGTAGTTTATATCTTGAGGCCGAACCGTAAACCAGCCTCTGGCGGCATAGCGAATCTCACTTCCATGTCAGTGTTTACATTGATCTGAATGTTGCAGCTGATTGGTCCGTTGATATTAGAGCGATATTATTGGTTGAAAATCAAAACCGGTTTTCAATCAGATACTCGACGAAAGATAAGTTGTCAGAATCAAATGTAAAATGTAATACGGGTCACTGATCTCCGTCGTGTATCAGAATTCTCACAGAATGTAAACTAAGCCCCAGAAGATGTCGTTAAAGCAAGACTTTACGAATCTGCAAAGTGTGTAGCTGCAGCCTCTCGAATTTGTAGACAGGGGACTTGCAATTCATATGGAGAAAAGATAGTTTTTAGAGAAAATATTTGCTTTTGAATTTATAGCGAGCAGCTACATGTCTCACTTTGAAGTTAAACAAACTCGAAAGTCTAAAACTTTTAGGACAAAGAAATATCTAATGTGAAAGAACTTTATCCACAGGTAGCCCAAGCACTGGACTTGGCAGTGAAGAACGAAAAGTTCGATAAAAGTGGTAAAACTGAATAAAATTATTAAAACTAAAAACTACAACATAGTGTTCTTCTTATTTTTCTCAACACCCCTGTGAAGTTTCAGCTCATTATGGTAAACTTTCCCCTACTTATATATATTTATATGACAAGGTTGGAGACAAACCGGCGAAAATCACAACCGACACGGCTTCAAATTCAAGCATTTATTTGCCAAAAAAACACTTGCCGTTCAAATTGACTGCCATCACACATTTGGTGATGCATAAATACATCTTAATTTTGATGTCTTAGAGGCCTACCTGCTCTTGACTATGCACTAAAGCCGTTCAAACACGAAGATCGACTCTCCAAAAATMGGGAAAAAGGCGCGAACCAGCCAACGAAAGCCAAACGGGCAACCCAGGCCCCTTGACCGTTGATTGTGTTGTATAGGAACCTCAAACTTCAAAGCCTGTATAGTTAGGTTGCATAAAGTCGAGTCCATGTCCCTTTCCACCTGCTCCGTGACTGTCAGTTTTTTTTACTATTTTGATGGTCGTTTGATGGGTATGTTTTATGTATTCTAAGGATATTTTATTGCCTCCTGACTTCTATTGTTACTTTTATTCGACCATCATACTCATTGCCGTGTCTTAATATAATGTGGGACTTGAGTGGATATTAGGGGAAAAAAATGCTGATTAACATACTTTTCATATTTATTACTTATTAACTTATTGATTATTATTTGCTTTACATGTCCTTATTTCTTCATAAGATTTTAAGACTTTTCCAATAAAAACTTTGACTAGTAGAATACTTAATTTAAACATATTTTATATTGTGCATGCTCTTCTTGTCATCAGTGTGAATGTCATTGTCCTACAGGTTAGCATAAAAAAATTGACACAACTGTGCCGTGGAAAAAACATATTAATATGTGAATACRTTAATAATTGACACGGTATCTATTTTCTCTCTGCTTTGTTTTCTGTCTAGCAGTTGCCATGGTGTGCAGGAATGGCGGGACATAATCAAATCAATTGCACCAAAGATTGAGAAAGAATTATAATTCCAATACCTGTAAGAAAAAGAGGTAAACACGACTTATTGATAATATAATACCATCTCTTTAAATGACAATTACCCTGAGTAATAGACCTGAATGGGGCCCAGGGGAGGGAGGAGACAAAAAAATGACCATCACTGAGRTATATAATAAGTGTGACAAAGGAAAATATACATTTGCTGTAATCTCATTAATTCATATCAATTTTACTTTTACTTGAAATTCTTAGTAGCGGCCCTACATGCCACCTAGGCGTAATAGGAATGATGATGAATTTTACTTACCAAACTTTAAGATAGAGGTATGGCCTACTGGTATCTCAATGAACCTCAATTCAAAGCCAGCTGTGTTTCCCCTAAAGAAGTTATCACTATTGGTACTGAAYGCAATCCTCATATRCTGAYCTGATGATATCACTGTTCTAGATGTAWCATTGTGAAGGTCACAATAACGAGCAGAATTATCACCACCTCTGATTTCTAAGGTATCTGTATCTGGCTGTTGGCTGTAGTATATCGACTCGCAATAAAATACAACCTTGTTGCTGATCTTCAAGTCAGTCACTTCAGCTTTTATTCTCTTGGAGCTTGACGAAGCAGTGATATGCCAATGGCAGAACAAATTGCTAGGGTATTTTTCTGGGTACAGAGGGCTTCTGATATATTGGTAATTACTAGAAGGATTCAATTTCAAAATTACAGGAAAATAAAAAGGGTAAGTGTACATGATTGAAGAACGCCATCCCATACACATGGAATTATAGTAACTGGCTGAAATAAGAAAATGAAAAAAAGTTAGGTAAACAAAGCAATGACTAGCATTCAAAACCTAAAGGTCTTCCATTGTCATAATTAATGTTTGTTGAACTTGAATATTTTTTTCATGAATGTTCATATTGGAAATATTATTCAGTTTTTATCATCAGATAAACAGTTTTACATCAAGTTCAGTCCTGTGAAATTGTGAAATTGTACTGTAAGATTCTTTATGAAACTTATTAATAATGCATGAGCTATTACTCCAATAAGGGCTGTCCATTTAATCAGCCTTGTAAATCTGATACAGCACTAGTGTTGTATCAGATTTACAACATGGTCGTCACCATTGAGACAACCCAACACTAGCAAAGGTCTCAGTTTTAGTATCGCATCATAGGTTTTCACTAGGTTTTGAAGCAATCAAAGATGGATAACAGAACTCGCTTATGCAACAGATGGCTTGCTTTCCATGTTGAATGGATAATTATTCAAAATGTTCTGTGTTGCAGTAAATTGTGCATGCTTAATAGCAACTAAACTCTGCAGTTACCTTAATTGTCATTTTCGTCATTTATCTCACTGTAATTCATGTTAATTTGTGTTGGAGTTAATAAGTTGTTTACAACATTCGCGTCCATGTTGTATGGGAATTAATAAGTAATTCCCATACAACACGGCCGCTCATGTTGTTTAATAACTATATGTAAAACATGACAATTTCACAGCAAATAAGCATTAGGATTGCTAATGTCTTCTGTTTTCCTTAATTTTGAAGCTAATAATCCCTATACTTACCAGGGGAGCGGAGCGCAGAGTACTCCAGTCTGAAGCCTTGTTTTGTAGGAAGATTATTTGCAATAGTAGTAACACTTGAAAAGACTAAAGTCAAGTATCTCTTGAAAGAAATCACATTGGCAGGTACACTGCTGCCACAGTACTTTCCAAGCTGGAAGAACTTACCAACTGAAGAGCTTTGATTGGAACTAGTTAGTTTTAAAGTATGTTCTTTATAATTGCATATTCCAAAGTACTTATCAAAGCCCCCCAGGTCAAAGTTAGTGAAGTTCAGTTTTACAAAATGCCCTGGAGGTGCTGTGATAAGCCAAGTTAACATTTTGCCTGAGGAGGGTAGTTAGCAGGATAGTTTGGACTTGTTAGAATCTTTGGTTTGTCTAGTTCAGCATCAAGAAGAAATGGAGCCACAATCTGAAAAAAAATAACATAAATGTTATGGAAAAAACATCTAAATGTATTCACCAAAGGAAATGTTGGGTGTTGAACATTATATTAAATT